AGTGTACCTTTTGCCTTATGCTTTGTACCTCTACCTTTTTGCCTTTCCAACCTTAATAAGGATAATATTGACCTTTCACCCATGTTTTGTTGATCAAGCTATCCCTAGCAAGTCATTCCATTCATTTCTCATACTAGCCTAAGTTCCAAACACTCCATCATCTCTCTAAAAAGAACCTTGCTTATTCTTCAAGCCAAAAGGATGACCTTCTAGCTTTGCAAGATCCCACCCCAAGATTCCTACTTTCTACTTCCCAAGCATAGGAAAGGGTAAGATTCATAGCTATTTAGTGTTTTTAGCTATCTTTTGGGTATCTTTATCTAAGTTAGAACCTTTCTTGTGTTTTGGCTTGTATAAGAAGTTGGTGGAGAAGAAGAACTCCAAGAGGAGGCTTAGGAGAGTGTAAAAGAAGAAGTTCTAGTCTATAAAGGTAACCCATGCTCTACAAAATCTATTTTATGCTTGTTATTGATATTTCCTGGCTTCTATTGATGTTCTTGATGTGATTTGTGAGATTTGATGCATGATCTTGTGATGATGCATGTTTAGAGCTTGTATTTAGGTTTCTTGAATGCCATTGCTTGGCTTATTCTTGGGTTCAAGTCATATCTTTGTTGTGTGTGAGATTTTGGGTGTTTTGGACTTGAACTTGGCTTTGTTGATGATTTTCCCCGAAGGGAAATTATGAAGTACAGGTGTACCCCACGGGCGGAACGGCAGGCAGTGGCCTACCCGCCGCCCCACCCGCGGGGAACGAGGTGGAATTGGGGTGTACCCCGCGGGCAGGCCCACGGGGAACATATGAGCGGGTTGCGGGGATTTGTTCCCCGTGATCCTTTTCTTCTTGGTATTGATGTTTTGACCTCCCATTGTTGAATTATTGAGCTCTTTGTGAGTCTTCTTGATGTTTCGTATGTCTAGAACGATGAGTTAGGAATCCATGTTAGGATTTAGTGTCTTGAATTGTGCTAAGGGTCCAACCTTGTGATTCGTTGGGCTAATATGAGCGGGTTGCGGGGATTTGTTCCCCGTGATCCTTTTTCTTTTTGGTATTGATGTTTTGACCTCCCGTTGTTGAATTATTGAGCTCTTTGTGAGTCTTCTTGATGTTTTGTATGTCTAGAACGATGAGTTAGGAATCCATGTTAGGATTTAGTGTCTTGAATTGTGCTAAGGGTCCAACCTTGTGATTCGTTGGGCTAATATGAGTCTTGAAGGTTCATTGGAACCATTTTGGTTTGTCCGTTTGATGAGCATGCTAGTTTGATGTTGATATGATAGTATGTATGGTTTGTTCCTTCTTGTTGAGGATTGGCAACTCGTGTTGCCAATCATTTGATGTTGGATTGTAGTCCTTGTTGTTGAGTATTGCTCATGTCTTTGTTGAGATCTCTTGATTGATTCTTATGATGTTATCTTGTACAAATCGTTATACCCTTTGTGTTGATACTTGATTGGGGCTATTGCTGAGCCGTAGTCTTCTTGATAATGATGACTGTGTGTGAATATGAATTGGTGGTTTTGTTACTCGAGCTTTACTCATGAGATCGGTGGTATGTGACTATGAATTGAACAGTACCCTCGTGTACTTGAGATCGATGGTATTCTAATTGGTGGTGTAGATTGGTGGGGGACGACGGTCCCATACCGGGAAAAGGTTGGACTCAGAAGTACATGGTGACACTCGGAGGTACAGGTTGGAACTGTGATAAGGCCGGAGGTAGCCATAAGGGTGGTACTAAGGTATAAGGTTGGAACATAAACTTGTCATTATGTGATTGATGCATTTCATTGCTTATATGCATGTCTTTGATGAACTCTACCTTGTGAATGGTAGGTTGCATCTAGAGTTGTGTTGTCCTTAGTTGTTTGTGGTTTTGTTGTCTTGTTGAGGTTGATGATCCTCGTACTTGTTGAGAGTGTGATGAGTCTTTGATGTTGACCTTCTTCTGGTTTTAAAATGACTATATATTGTATTCCTCAGTCTCAAACACTTTTGATTATATCTATCTATATATTATGCTATTTAACACGTATTGATGGGTTACCAGCTTTATTCGCTGACCGAGTGTTATCCCTTATCTTATCCAGGTTTTGAGTAGATAACGAGTCACGAGCGCGCTAGTGGAGACTCTTAGCTAGTGTAGCTTTACCTTTCGTTAGTTGTTATGTTTTGGCCTGTGAGCCTTGGATGTTGAACTCTGACTTAGACTTTGTGTAGCCTGTGCACCTACGTTGTTTAGGTGTGGCATAATGTCCCCGTTTTAGACTTGCTTCCGCTTATGGTTTAATGGATGATTAGATTGTTTATCTCTTTAAATTAAGTTTTAAAATGTTGGTAAAAACGGGGGTGTTACAACCTACCCATACCCTCTTCATCAGGCCCACCCTCACTTTCTTCCCCACAATCAATTTCAACATCTGACCCAACTTCCCCACCTAACTCAACCCCACCATCAGTTTGAAATTCTGCCCCACCATCAGTCTCAAATTCTGCCCCACCATCAGTTCCCAATTCAACCTCATTCCCAAAGTTAAACCCCTCAAAGTCCAATTCTATGTCACTCAAACACCTAGATTCAGGCTTCTTTTTCTGCAATTTTAGGGCCAGGTAAAGGCATAATAGAAACCAATTTTGCATAATCTAACCCATGTTCAACATATATCTCACACTTCCTACCTTTCAATGTAATCTGAACTAAGTGCATACTGCTGGCATCATCATTTAAAAGCTTCAATTCCTTAAAGGATTCTTCAGGTAATTTGTAAGTTAGTGATACAATTTTACCATATATTTGCTCTTTAATATACTTCATCAGATGTGGATAACATACCAAGTCTGGGTCAATTACTACAGATTCTACTTCTCCTCCTACATACTTAAGCCTAGGGTTTTTTGTAAAGTTACCACCATGGTGAATAAGTAATTCTATAGAATCAGACATCCTGAAATAGAATAAGTAAATACAATAAGCAAATAGACAAAACTAATCTGTCAACACATCTTTTTCACATACTTTTTCACAATTATTAAATGCACAATTTATAATCACAACAACCAGACAATATATACTTTAAGGCTTGTGTTTTGTAGGACCCCCATTTACCAGACATATTATACACAAAAGCAGGACAACAAACACACTTTTCAAGCTTCAGTACAATAAGCATATTTTTTCTCAACAAAAAAAGGCACCACAACTTCATTGGACAGAACAATATGCAGGACCACAACCACTTTACAGAACAGCAACCATTGGACAAGTTATTTGAACTAGAATTCTTTAGAATAATCCACAACTTACCTACTTGCTGTGAATGCACTGCGTCTATTCTGCACTCCTTCCTCACTGTCTTCAATTTCGAATAGGGTAGTCGGCTCTCACTGTCGGTTTCTGCACTTTCGTGGATAATTACTAACAATCAAATTTCTGTTTCTGCAATTTCGGTTTCTGCACTTTCGCCGACCTAATCACTGTCGGTTCTCACTCTCTCTCGTTGTCGACTCTCAATCTCGCTGTCGGCTCTCACTATCCGTTTTGCATAAATGATTTCTCACTGATTAGGAATAGTCGTGATTGAATATTAGGAATCGCATAAACGATTTCTCATGCGTTGTTGAAGGGCGGGTCTCACTTATTAGGAATAGTCGTTTAACACAGTTTAGGAATTAAACAATTTAGGGTTTCGAAATTCTTTTTTAGGATGGTTTAATTTTGTTATTTAATTGCCATGTCATCATTGCCACATAATCAGTGACCGGGCCAAGTCAGACTCCACCGAAGGTAATCTGCAAAAAAAGTCAATCGGCAAATTTTTGGAGGTAAGTGTGTCTAATTAGATTATGTTAGTAGATAGGGAGAATTGAACACTTCAAACTAGTAGATAATTAGATTATGTTAGTAGATAGGGAGAATTGAACACTTCAAACTAGTAGATGGGCCTATTTCCGAGTTTCCAAACACACCCTTAATAGATAGGGAGAATTGAACACTTCAAAGTTCAAACTAGTAGATGGACCTATTTGTTACTTGTGCCTTTAAAGTAAAATCTCACATTTTGAATTCCAATTTCATATATTATATTAGTCATGAGTGCATATACTTTAAATGTGTCAAAATTAAATTTACATTGCACTAAAATGTATTCCTATTTTACTTTGCTTAATTTGTTAATCGATTGTAAATTAAAAGATCTTTACAAATGAGTTTAAATTGTGTGATGATAATATATAATTTGATTTATCAAAAGGTCTGCAATCGTTATCTAATGATGTTTTTAGAGTGAAGTTTGTAATTATAGCGGACAAAGAACGACAAAGAGATAAACTAGTATAGATTATTCATAACTATCGAATTCAAACAAAAAAAAAAAAAAAACTCAATAAACAACTTTTATGAGAAGTAAAACTTAAAATCCTGTACTTAACTAACCTAATTGTCTGGTGATAATAAATACTTTGAATATAAGAGCATCCACAATGGTTGGGGAGAATTGGGGGATAATGTAAGAGTGATTAGGAGAGAGAATGTGGGAAGGGGAGGAAAAAAAAAACAAAAAAATTAAAATAAAAAATTAAAAAAAAAAAAAAAAGGGTTAGGAGCGCCGTTTGGCGCGCCTAACGCGCCCACAAGGCACGCGCCCGTGTGGGCGGGCTGCTGTGCACGTTTTTTCTTCTCTTTCTTTTTCTTCTTTTTCTGCATTCTCTTGAATTTGCAGAAGAAATATCTCCACCAATAACTTTCCCCCAACTTGTTATTATTCCCACCTGAAATAATTCATCAGACATTATCTCCATAATATCCACTGATGTGGATGCTCTAAGTAACATTGTTCTTGATAATGAATATAAATAACCCAGATAATTACTGCGTGCCAGGTTTGAACCTGTACTTTAACAAGGATAATTACTGTGCGTCAAATGTAAACCTGTACTTTTTTTTTTTAAACAAGGATATTTATAATCTTGTGACAAGTGCCGTACTGCTTTTCTATTTCGAGTCTTGCCGTGTTTGTATCGTATCGTATCTTATCGCGGATTCGCGGCCCCGATAATAACTCTTTCCGTCAACTGTCCTCTCAAATCACAATCCGCCATGGACGAACCTCGAAAGCATCAGGTTCCTATTTCACTTTGTATGCAATGATATTTGTATCTCTGTTTCGTTTATATACAATTTATCCTTTTCTTATACTGTGTGTGATTAGTGGTAGAGCGTGAAATTTCGATTTTATTTGTAGACACAGTTTCGATAATTCATGGCAGTGACATCATTTTAGCAAGTGATGTGATTTTATTTATTTTTTTATTTTTTTTGGAAATTTTGGTTGATTTTGTGATCGGTGGATCTCCATCAGGTCTCGTTGCGAGGAGCGAGCGTGAAGGAGATTTCCAGGGATGCGCTTCTCGAGAAGGTGTCGCACCAGAGAGAGTTTAGGAGTTATATTCGAAAATCCACTGCGGCTGCAGTGTTTATTCAGGTTTAATTATCTCGTTTTGTTTGGCTGAATTCTCAAATTACTGAAACTGTTGTGCTTGGGGCACGTTATTATTACTTGAACGTCCGCTCTTATTTGACACTTCACTTGATAATGCATATTGTACCATATATTCCGAATTTAGTGTTACTTTGCTGTTTAATGAACTGACCTTCAGATTTAGTATTCACAACCGGGCAATGTGTTTTATAATCCTGAAATCTAAAACTTTGCTAATAATATATGCAGAGAGTTTGGCGGCGATACTCTGCCACAAAGTTGATAGCCCTACAACTTCAGAATCAGTGGGAGATATTGATGGATAATCTTGCTGTTCCTTTAACTAAAATACAGATATCTGGCAGTATTTTGAGGCCTTTTATTTTCTTCATGTCATTCTTGTTGAATCGAGGGGCGAAAAAGCAAAAGAGAGACAAAGATTGCATGAAGACTTGCTTCAGAGTTGTTTTGGAAAGCATAAACTCGACTAGTATGCTCTTCTGATTTCCCTCTAATTTGTTTCTTCATCGTGTTTTTGTTCTTTATCTTCTTGTAGCAATTTTTACTTTTCAATCTAATTTTTCCATTGTTTCATTTTCCTGGAAAAATGAATTGAAAAATGTTTAGGGCCGGTTTACTTTAGTTTTAAATTTTAATATCCGATATTCAGATTAAAATTATGTTAGGATATAACTTAACTAAAAAATATCCAAACGAATAATATATTGAGTTCATCCAAAATCTAAAAATCGGTTTAGATTCCAATAATGTGAATAGTTTTTAATGTTAAGCGTAAGTAAATACGCTATGTTTATATAAATGAGATTAGAAATAATAAAAGAATATAAGTAAGAGAAGATAATAATGAATGTAGTCATAGTAATGAATATATATGTAAGTAGATAAAGGTGAGGATGTGGTGGTAGTGGTAGATATATAGTCAAGTAAGTGATAGAGGTTCTGTTTTCCATTTGGAAAACATAAAAAAAGTGTTCTCCTGTTTTTTGAAAAACTGTGCAAGTAAACATGTTTTCTGTTATCTATTCTCCAGTTTTCAGTAAAAGTTCTCCCGTTAGTAAACAAGTTCTAGTTTTTACAAAGTAGAGAATGTGTGTTAAAATTATTTAATGGCTATGGTTTTGATTTATCATTTTTATGGATAGATCTGGATGAAAACTTTTGCTCCATGGCATTTGGAAATGTTGAAGAAAGAAGAGTTTGGACTTACCAATCAAAGAAGCTGATTTCCCTTTGCTTGTTGGTTCTAGCAGAATTTGATAACTCCCGCCTAGGGGGTGAAGACATTTTTGTTACATCATTAGCACTGCGTTTGGCAGTTGTTTTGACTGATCTTAAAGGTTGGAAATGCATTATTGATGCTAATATCCAGGCTGCAAATATGTCAATAAGAGACTTAGTTCATTTCATGGGAAGCAAGAAAAGTTGTTTGTACAGTTCTGTACGGAGATACATTTGTAAACTTCAAACGCCTGTTTCTTCTCAAGTGACTAGTTCTGGCCAGGCAGATGATCGATTCTTGATCATTGCTAGTGCTACAACTTTGGCTTTGCGGCCATTTCATGTTGCAGGCTTAGTTGTAAACACTAATTGCTTAGAGGAAGTGCAGAACGCTGCCGAGCAGTTTTGTATTTTTCTACTTACAATTCCTTGGTTTGCTCAAAAGTTACCGGCAGTGCTAATACCAGCTCTGAGACATATGTCTGTTTTGTCAGCTTGTTTAAGGGTTCTGCTGGTAAGTTTGGGTAATAAGAAATTTTTTCCTATTTTTATCACAATCTTATTAGGGTAAATTCTTACTAGTTCAATTTGTGCTCATATCATACTATTAAATTGAATAAGCAGATATATATTGTGGAAGAATATGGATTCTTTTATCTTCCAGTCCCTCCGTGGATTGTAATTGGATGAAATAGTCTTTGTTTTTTTTTTTTTTTTTTTTCAAGGTGGCCTTAATGAGTTTCTGCTTTTTGGACCATTCATAGAATCATAGTGCTTGTTTTGCCCACAGCTCATTGGAGCTTACCTACTCCAAAAAGCATAAACTAGCCAACTAGGACAAGCACTAAAAAAGAAAAAGGCTTTTGAAGTCCAATAAGAAGCAAAAAGCTCTTTTTCAAGAAGTTTCTCACAGTTGAGGCTTTTTAGAAAAGCCTCCTTTTCAATAAGCTCTACCTTGGCCAGACTAGCACATAGAAGTCTGTACTTATGGGAAAAATAAAATACTTAGTAATTCATGTATTATAAGGATGCTTTCATGGCATTACTTTTTCTAGTTATGCCTGTCTTCTCCATGATTTTGTTTCAGTTGAACTTCTGTGATTGCCCATCCTAGTATTATTATCTGTTAAACTTCTGTAATTTCCCATCCTACTACTACTACTACTACTACTACTGCTTTTTTGGTGTTAGAGCATGAAAGGACTGATAAGCTTTGGCAGGTGATGGCAGATGTCAAGGGAGGGAATCTTAAAAGAAATGTCTTGTGCTGTTAAGATGACAACTACCCACCAAAACAGGGTGATGCCACAGGTTGGTTGGGCTCTGTCAAACATTATATACCTTGCTACTATGTGTGAGAAGAATGCATTGGATTCTGGAAAGTTTGCCCCTGGCTTAGACCATGCATCCTATGTACATGTTGTGATTGCTCTGGCAGAGGACCTATTGGCTTGGTTTGAAAAGGTTGGATGGCTAAGAAAGGACCAAGAAGTCCTGGATGATTGTGGTACTTCTGCTGAATCCCTTGATAACTTTTTGCATGAGGCTGAGACAACTGCTGGATCCCTAAAGATGTCATATTCGGACCTTCTTAAGCCTGTTTGTCAGCAGGGGCATCTGATGAAACTTGTATCATTTAACAAAGATACTTTTGTTAAGAAGGATGATAATCTGCCAGCAATCAGCATGGAGTCCCCTAGATGTTGTGAATTGCTTGATGTTGCTTATTATTACTCATGCATGCTTAGAATATATTCAGCTGTGAATACAGTGCATGGAGCATTGCCAGTTCTGAATATGCTATCTTTTACTCCTGGATTTCTTTCTAATTTGTGGGGTGCTCTAGAAAAACAAATTTTCCCTGGAAAAGATTATGTTGCTGAGAGTGGTTCAAATCAAAATAAAGTTGGTGAAAGCAATTTTCATGAAGTGTCTACAGGAAAGCAAAAACATTTTGCTAAAGACAGTGGCAGCAAATGGGTTGATGTAATTCAGAAAATCACAGGAAAATCACAAACAGAATCAAAAACTGCAACCATGGCTGATGGAATTTCTGGTTCTAACTCAATTGGTGAGCATTGTTCTGATATCTGGGATATTGAACCACTAAGGAAGGGTCCTGATGGCATATCAAAAGATACTAATTGTCTGCTTCATCTCTTCTGTGCCAGCTATTCACACCTGCTCTTAGTTCTTGATGACATTGAGTTTTATGAGAGACAGGTTAGATCCATCCCTTCTTTGCTTCTACCCTCCCCCCCTCCCCCAACCCCATCCTACCACACCATTGCATGCAGTCCCTTCCATAAAGAAGTAAGAAACAATTTTTAATATTTCTCTGGGGATTTTGACCAATAAAAAAATGTTGGATGAATTAGGTCCCTTTTGTATTGGAGCAGCAACGCAAAATTGTGTCAGTTCTTAACACATTGGTGTACAATGCCTTGTCCCTCAATATTGGTGCTCAAAATAGGCCACTAATGGATTTTGCTGTCAAATGCCTGCATTTGTTATATGAAAGAGATTGCAGGCACCAGTTTTGTCCACCTGCTTTGTGGCTTTCACCAGGTAGAACAAATCGCCCTCCAATTGCTGTAGCTGCTAGGACTCATGATGTTTTGGCAGCTACAACAAATGATGTTTCAGCCTCTCTGACAATTGATTCTGTGATTACAACTACACCACATGTCTTCCCATTTGAAGAGAGGTGATTTTTGACATTAAAATTCATCCTAAGTTCTCCCATTTCATTGTCATTTTCCTGCTTCCTTTTTTATTTTACATTTTAGCACCTGGAATATTTGTTGTGCAGTCTCAGGGTGCCTAAAATTGCACTTAATGAATTGTGTTTGAGTAGAAGCCTATTGAAAATTTAGACCAACTTGGTATCACCATATCCTGCTATTTGAGAAATAATGTACATATATGCTTTTCTTCTCACCTCAGCAGTAAATAGCTAGTATGCCCATATTTAACACGAAATACAATATTTTAATTGGGTTCTGAAGTCATTATATTCAGATGTGTGCAGTTCATTTTTGCAGTCATTCTAACATCTTACTCTCAATAACTCTATTGCTTCTGTATCCTCTGCTTAAATTGCATGCTGCAGTTGTGTAAAAAGAATGTTAATATTCATTTCTTTACTTTTGTTTTTCATGCTAAACAGTTTGTGTTGTGCCCTCTGGCTTTAACAGGGTTGAAATGTTTAGAGAATTTATCAACATGGATAAAGTGTCTAGAAGAATGGCTGGTGAGGTTGTAGGTCCAGGTCCACACTCAGTAGAAATTGTTATTCGCCGTGGTCATGTTTTTGAAGATGGATTTCAACAAATAAACAGCCTTGGGTCCAGACTAAAATCTAACATCCATGTTTCTTTTGTAAATGAATCTGGTCTTCCTGAGGCTGGCTTGGACTATGGTGGGTTATCTAAGGAATTCTTGACTGAAATAGCAAAAGCAGCATTCTCACCTGAGTGAGTTCTCCTTGGAGCTTTACCTCTCTTTTACAACTTTTTCTGTTTAATAAGAATTCATATTCTTAAAATTGGTTATATCTTTATAGGTGTGGTTTATTCATCCAGACTTCAACCTCAGACCGGCTTCTAATTCCTAATTCAGCTGCAAGGTTTTTAGAAAATGGTTTCCAGATGATTGAGTTTCTGGGAAAAATTGTTGGCAAGGCACTTTATGAAGGAATATTGTTGGACTATTCCTTTTCACATGTTTTTGTGCAGAAGTTATTGGGCCGTTATAGCTTTCTTGATGAATTATCAACACTTGACCCTGTTCTATACAGAAATCTCATGTATGTTAAGGTAAATGCTTTCGGATTCAAGAGAAAAGAAATTATAGTTGACCCTTGAGTGTGATGTTACTACATCTATAATGGAGCTGCATATCAACATTGCTAGTCATTGATTTAAAATGAGTCTCAAGTTAATGGGCTAGATGTTTTTTACTGCAAAGAGGAACCCTTTATTAAAGGAATTAAAATAAATCCACTTTTTCTTGCTAAATAGAACTTGATAATACATTTTCTATTTGCTTGTTATTTTGATGCATGGTTACCTGGCCAATAGGGTGAAGTTCCATGCAAGGCTTGTATTTTAACTTGAGATTGTTTGGTGAAAAATTAGCTCTGTGTGCAACTTGTTATTTACATTCTCTGTTGTAAATGGCTTATATCATGGGAATGTGAGTGCAAATTGACTTTAGACCTCTCAGTAGAGGCAGGTATGTATGCTGTGTTTTTTTTTTTTTTTAATATGTTGATATTATACTGAAAGTTGAGTATGAATGTTGTTGAAACACAAAAGTTGTGTCAGTAGACATATGTCTATTGAAGTTGTGTAGAGTTGTGTTTGTAAGATTGTGTCTTTTGAGTATATATATATATATATATATATATATATATATATGTTAGAAGAGTTGGGGTGTGGTTGAGAGGATCACTCTCAACCTTAGGATTTGAATTTTGAATTTAATGGCGGTTGCTTTCCCTTAGCTTGTATATATAGGCCTTTCATCTTCTGTACAGTACACTTCATTAATATACAGTTACGTAGCCTACTGCATACATTTAATCACATGGTATCAGAGCCACGGTGAGGGTGAGTGGTGGGTTGCGATCGGAGGACGACGGCGCCGCTTCGCCGTGAAATCGCGACACCACCGGAGCTTCCACGCGCCGTCACGCGCCACCGCGACAGTTGGTCGCCGATCCATGCGCCGGCGCGTGAGGAGTTTTCCGGCGACTTCCCGGGACGCCGATGACATCGGCGTGGTCGCAGGGAGGAGCCCAGTCGGGATGTGCAGCGCGTGAGGCAGTTTGGTGAAGGGTGGTTGGAAGTATTCTTCAAGCTTGTGTCGGCTATTTGGCTCATACTGTTTCCCAGGTTCTTTTGTTTAAGTTTTTCTTTATGGCGGATACAAGAAATATTACGTGCAATATTATATCGACCCCGACCAAATTAGTTGATGTGGTGCTTGCACCAGATGGGTCTAATTTTGGAGAGTGGAGATTTTTGGTTGAAATTAATTTGGGGGGTATGGGTAAGGATAAACATTTGACTGGGACGTGTCCAACAGAGCAAACTGAGGCTTAAGAACGGAACAAGGATGATAAATCTTTATTATCCCGCATAATAAATTGTATTGATAGGAAAATCATTCTGTCTATGCAACACTGTAAGACTGTGAAGGAGGTTTGGGACTTGGTAAATAAATGGTTTAGTGGAACAAACAACCTGAGGAAATTGTATCAATTGTCTCAGGATGTCCATCGTCCCTCCCAAAATGGACGAGACATCCGAGATTATTTTTATGATTTCAAGAGTGCGAGTGAGGCGTTGTGTACTGCTATGCCAGTCATGGATTTGGACACAGTAAGAAAACAACGGGATCAGCATGTGTTTAGCTGGATTTCAGGGTTAGATAAAGAGTATGATGTCGTGAAGTCTCAGTTGCTAGGACATAAAGAGTTAGAATCAATAGACCAAGTTTTCACTATGGTCCAGAATGCCTCAAGTACATGTAGTGGAGTATCGGAGAAGAAGGTTTTTGTAGCGCAAGGGGATAGTGGAGGTGTAGGTTCTGGTAATCGCGGAGGTCGATTCTCAAGACGTGGTGGCTTTGGTAGAGGACGAGGACGAGGTCGAGGTCCAAGGGTTTGTTATAATTGTGGAGAGCCCGGACATCTACGTAACCAGTGTCCAAAACCTCTCCGACCAGAAAGCTTTGCCAATTCTGTCTCCAAACCAGAGGGTAATGTGGTTGTAATGACGGATGAAGAGTTGGCTATGTTCAAACAGTTAAAAGTGTCCGCCTCACAACCTCTAAACAGTCAGGAAACGTTACCATCTTCCTCAGCCACGTTCGTCCAAACAGGTAATCCTACTGCTTGTGTCTCGTCCTCATCCCGACAGTGGGTTATTGATTCTGGAGCCAGTGATCATATGTCAGGTAATCTAAATGTCTTTTCTGAATATTCTTCCTTTCCGCCTGGTACTACAGTTACCCTAGCAGATGGTTCATCCGCTTCAGTTTCGGGTAGAGGTAGTACCAGTGTAACCATGTCGTTACCTCTCTCTCGTGTGTTATACCTTCCGAAATTTTCGTTCAATTTACTGTCGATAAGTCAAATTACTCGAAGTTTAAACTGTTGTTTTGTGTTCTTTCCTGGTTATTGTTTGTTTCAGGATCTTTTGACGAAGGCGATTATTGGTAGAGGAAAGGAAGCTGGTGGGCTGTTTGTGCTGGAACAGTTCCCTCCTAGTCCTGAAAAGGTTCCTGTTAGTCTGTTGGGTAGTACGTCTCCTTCCAAGTTACATTGTCGGTATGGTCACCCGCCTTTATCTATTTTATTTAAAGAAGCTGTGTTCGAACTTAGAGTCTTTGTCTGTTTTGCAATGTGAATCTTGCGAATTTGCAAAGCATTGTCGGGTACCATATCCGCCTAGAGTCAATAAAAGGGTAGAGTCTTTATTTCAGTTGGTTCATTCTGATGTATGGGGACCATGTCGGGTTCCGTCTAAGTCCGGGTTCAAATACTTTGTAATCTTTGTGGACGATTTCTCGAGACACACTTGGTTATATCTCATGAAATCTAGGGATGAATTGTTTGAAGTCTTTTGTAAATTCTGTTCTATGGTTAAGACTCAGTTCAATAAAATGATTCAAGTTTTGCGTAGTGATAATGAGACTGAATATTTTTCCCGTACCTTTTCCGAGTATATGAACCAAAACGGAATAATACACCAGTCCTCTTGTGTGGGCACTCCTCTGTTGGAGGTTGCCCGGGCAACCTCCATCTAAAAATCGCCATCTGTTGGAGGTTGCCCGGGCCTTGTTATTTCAGATGAAAGTTCCCAAAGGGTTCTGGCCGGATGCTGTCCATATTGCTTCGTTCTTGATTAATCGATTACCCTCGACAGTACTCCAAGGCCCGGTTCCGTGTCACATTGTCTATCCGTCCAGTCCGTTATTTTACCTTCCACCCAGGGTGTTTGGGTGCACGTGTTTTGTTCAGGATATTCGTCCTCACATGGGGAAACTTGATCCTAAGTCTCTGAAGTGCATATTCTTGGGATATTCTAGCACTCAGAAAGGGTATCGGTGTTATTCTCCTGACTTACAAAGGTACTTAGTGTCTGTCGATGTGTCGTTCTTTGAGGATGTTGTGTTTAAGGAACCTCTCACCTCATCTGATTGTAATTCAGTGTCGGACGATTTCCTTACATATATTGTTACTGTTCCTTCCGTGGGTTGGGGTGAGACAAGGCCTCTTGTTACACAGGTTTATCACCGGCGGTCAAGAGAAGTTCAAGCATTGTTAGGTCCATCCGCCAATCCTTCCTCGCCAGCGTTGTCGTCAACAGATTCCGATCTTCCAATTGTTGTTCATAAAGGTACGCGTCGTTGTGTTCATCCCATCTCTTCAGTTGTGTCATATGTCCATCTATCCCCCTCTTCACGTGTCTTTATATCTCAGTTAGAGTCAGTTAAAGTGCCAACGTCTTTGAAACAAGCTATGGGTCATGATGGGTGGAGACAGGCTATGGGGGAAGAGATGGCTGCCCTTGAAGAGAACCAAACCTGGGATTTGGTGGATCTTTCATTCGGTAAGGTAACTATTGGGTGTAAATGGGTTTATGTAGTGAAGATGAACCCTGATGGTTCTGTTGCCAGACTCAAAGCGCGCTTGGTGGCTAAGGGGTATGCACAGACGTATGGTATAGATTATACCGAGACTTTCTCCCCGGTGGCTAAGTTGGCTTCGGTACGTGTTTTTATATCTTTGGCTGCTACTAATCACTGGCCGTTATATCAATTAGATGTCAAAAATGCGTTTTTGCATGGTGATTTGCTTGAAGAAGTTTATATTATATGGAGCAACCACCAGGGTTTGTAGCTCAGGGGGGAGTCTGGGAAGGTGTGCAAGTTAAAGAAATCTTTGTACGGTCTAAGGCAGTCACCGCGTGCGTGGTTCGGGAGGTTTAGCAGTGCGGTTATGAAGTTTGGAATGCAGAGGAGTGCTTATGATCATACTGTCTTTTATAAACATACTAACCGTGGGTGTGTTTTATTGATAGTATACGTGGATGACATTGTGATCACAGGTAGTGATGCAGACGGGATTGGTGTTCTTAAGTCCTTCCTTGGAGCTGAGTTTCATACTAAAGATTTGGGAATACTAAAATACTTTCTGGGTATTGAGGTTGCTCGCTCAAAGAAGGGAATATTTCTCTCACAGAGAAAATATGTGATGGACCTTCTTGGTGATATTGGACTGCTTGGGTCGAAACCGTGTGATACGCCAATGGAACAAGGGGTCAAGCTTGTACCGGATGAGGGGGAGGTGTTTGAGGATCCAGAAAGGTATAGGAGACTGGTAGGGAAGCTAAACTATCTCACGATTACTCGACCGGATATTGCATTTTCGGTGAGTGTGGTGAGTCAGTTCATGAGTTCACCTACACGAACTCATTGGGAAGCAGCTGTTCGTATTGTGAGGTATCTGAAGAGCGCACCTGGGAAGGGGGTCCTTTATGCTGATTATGGACATACAGGTGTTGAGGCGTTCTCCGATGCGGATTGGGCTGGCTCGCCTAGTGATAGGAAGTCAACGACAGGATATTGTGTGTTTTTGAGAGGCAATTTAATTTCATGGAAGAGTAAGAAGCAAAGTGTTGTGGCGCGATCGAGTGCAGAGTCCGAATATAGAGCTATGGCTCACGTGACTAGTGAGATAGTTTGGGTGCATAACATTTTATAAAAGAGATGGGTGTAGAAGTGAAACTTCCTGTGAAGCTGTGGT